AAAAACCAATAACCCCTCATTTTATCTGTCAAACTTTCATAGCGAATCAAAACAAACCTTGCATAGTACTAGAATTTCGACTAGAATGGGGTACGTTAATCGTTTACTTGGGACCAATAGGCTAGTCAAGTAGTGAGCCAATTTAAAATCGTTAGTTTCGTATTGATTGTTGTTATAACTCTGTAGTATGAACGCCCGCATAAACGCGAACCATAAATTGACCTTACCTAAAATGGTTAAAAATTGTTTAAAATCCCTGCTAAACTTTAACTGAAATGGTTATAGAACTTTACATGAACGTTTAATGATAAAGTTTCAACCTTATGTATTATGGTTTTTTGGAACTGAACCTTACAAATAATGGGTTGTTAAGAACCATTACCATTCCAAATTCTTGTTTTCGCCATACATTTTCAGAAAGAGAACTATATAAGAACGTTTTTACTTATGATTTGAGAACATTAATAGTAATGGTTAAGGTAGTCAGTAAGGTCCATTAATGGTTTTGTATTATCGCTCAACTTTACGTGGAATATATCGTGAATTGGTAATCAGTAAATTACAGGCAACCAATTCGCGATATATTCCACATAAAGTTGATCGATGTTACAAAACCATTCGTAGACCTTACTGACTACCATAACCATTACCATTAAAGTTCTCAAACCATAAGTTAAAAGGTTCTAATATAGTTCTCTTTCCGAAAATGTATGGAGAAAACAAGAATTTGGAATGGTAATGGTTCTTAACAACCCATTATTTGTAAGGTCCAGTTCCAAAAAACCATAATACATAAGGTTGAAACTTTATCATTAAACGTTCATGTAAAGTTCTATAACCATTTCAGTTAAAGTTTAGCAGGGATTATAAACAATTTTTAACCATTTTAGGTAAGGTCAATTTATGGTTCGCGTTTATGCGGGCGTACTATAAAGGTGCACCCACATTAGATCCGTTTGCGTTGCGTTGATGTAAATTTGATGGTTATACAATAGCCAACCCATCAGCACTCGTGTTTATTTCAGTTACCGTGGGGACGTCCCGGTCCCTTTCAAATTGTATCATTATTTATGTATGGTCCTTATATTTGAAATGACGTTTCACATTCATCTAGTGATGGCCGATTTTCATGAGACATCTCTGATTTTGGTGTGATTGTTTTAATAAAGAAAGTGCGCAAAATTTCATTTCTACCGAGGGGGCAGCAAAACCACCAAATTACTTTGCATACGGGAGGTATTCATTGGACGAAAAGGACCGTGAAGACGACACTAAACTAGAAAGTTTTTCTTCCGACAGTTTCATCATAGTATTCTTCTTTGCAATAGCTGTCACTTTACCACAACGCGTCCGATCCGGATCTAATGTATGTGGGCCTTAATAGTTTATTATAGAAGTAATGCAGATTAAGCCCCTCGATTTTTGACATTAATCCACTGTCACTAAGAAAGCGCCCGGCTAAAATGTAACTGAGCGTTTTGTCCTGCGCATTCGCCATGACTGGAGCCGTGGGAAGCCATGCTGATTTCTCACCATATATAGAGAGTGTGAGAGTGCGAGTGGCTACTGGGAGCGAACAGAGTAACTCAATCATTGGACAAGGCAGGATCTGCTGCTGAAACAAGCAAAAGCAAAGTCACTGAACGGTTTCGCTAGTGTGTGTTCGTGCGCGAAACAAGCAAGCAGCAGCTTTTCCAAGCAAGTCAGGCTTCTAGCTACTAGCAAGCAGAAGACACGGAAAATGTAAATTGATTGGTGTAATTAGCGTTCATCTTTGCTCGAATATTGTTAGATTATCGCTTCAAAGTGTTGTACATAGTGGAAATAACCCAAGTGTAAGTGAATTCGATCGGTGCAGACCGGTAAGACGATACAAAGGTGGACCTGAAATTTGTGGAATTGCTTTGTCTGGACGGATGGGGCCCAGAAAACACGATTTTGCCGGACGACTTTTTTTTTTTGTTGCGTTCTGAGAGAGCGAGTGCTGGTGCTGGTGCCGCTGAGTGTGCGGATAGAAAATACGTGATCGGCTGCAGAAGATGAGAGTGTGTGAGTGTTCTGGCTAGCGTCTCCTGTTGGTGCGTGCATCTGCAATAGCAGCACTCAGCGCGGCTTGGTAGTGTATTCACGTCTCAACTCGCGAGCATTGGAGTTTCAGTTTTTCAAACAGTAAACAGTGCTACCGAAAATAATCAGTTTTATCAACAAAGCATATCGTGGTTCTTTTTCCATGTTAAAACCTAATTCTGAATGCAAGAAATATAGAGGTTGATCACATATTTGAACTTGAATAAATAACATTCACTTCTTAAAACTTAACTGACAATCCTCTTTTTTCAGAAAAAATCGAAAGAAATTAATGAATTCTAGAATATTAATAGAATTCCCACAGGTGTGACTCTATAAGATGTTCCATATCAACCATGGATAAAATTATATAGAATTAATGGATTAAAAAATTATATCGAATTAATCGGTCAGAGATCGGGTTAAAATGTTGTTTGTTGTCAAAAGTATGATCCATTTAGTGTTAAACACATTTTGGTTATCGTTTATACTGTAAGGAAGGCTGAAACGAGGGCTGAGAGTTGACATCTGATCTGTAAAACTCGAGGGTTTCATATAAAAAATCAACATGCCGAGAAAATCGTATTTAATTTTATTTTGCGCCAGGGTTGCTTCCACTCTTTTCGCTATAAAAAAATATTTTTCGGAGTTATGAAATAATGATAATGATAATGATATTTTGTTTTTGCAAGTTAAAAGAAGATGCTGTAAAGTATATGTTTGACACATAAAATTTTTCAATTTTGCTTTCCGAGAGTCACAACCGATTTTATGATTCGTGAGCGTTTACACTGAGTGGTAAAAAAATTGAATTATGGAAGACATACAACCATTATCAACAATTTATTTATTTATCATTTTTAGCTTGAACTAAGTCTGTAACAATTTTAGAGAAACGGTCATGCTATAAGTTGTTTGACTACGAATAAATATATTTAAGTTCAGACATTTTGGCTCATTGTGCTTCAAGAAATAGTTGTTTTTTTAAAGGAGTTTTGCTAGAATTGCTCGAACCTCATACTCTAAACATTACCAAAAATAAACGCACACACACTCTGTTATGTTTCATGCGATTTGTTTTCGCCAGTTTTTTGGATCGGGTGATCTCAAATTGAAACGAACATTATTCATGTGCTAAATGTCGTTTGAGCAATTTTTAGTTTGCATGGCGTGCAGATTAATGGTGTTCAAACTAAAAATGTTTTTTGACATTTTTGGGCAAACTGACAGTGGTAAAATCGAAGGTAAAACTGACAAAGGTATAACAGAACAAAACAGATTACTCTTTCATACTTGCATCGCAGTGCTGAATGCTAGAAAGAGTAGTCTGTTGCAGTCATCCTAACGCCTATAATTATCACATTGATGTGAGCTACGACGAAGTACTGGTTTGTTTCCCTCGTGCAACCACATTAAAAAACCATATTATCTTCCGAAAATACATTTGGTACAAGGATTTTGGGAACCATAATTTAATAAAAATATCTTATAATATAGTTTAATAAAAAAATGCTCATGTCGACAGCCATTTGAGGGGTTTATTAATATCATCAAATGGGGGCGACCCCGGTGTAGTGGTTAGCATTCATACCTCTCACGCCAAAGTCACGAGTTCAAATTTCACCCCCCGATAAGTCACGAATGACCCAAGAGCGTTAAAGTGACTATAATAATAATAATAATAATAATAATAATAATAATAATTTCATCAAATATCTATATTTTCCAATTCGAGACTTTAAAAATGTCCAAAAACTAAATAAAACACTCATTATAATAAGTAATTATGCGGAACGCTAGCATCATGATAGCCATCATAGACATATTTTCTTGAATGTAAGAATTAATTTCATAGCTCTCTGTGATGGCGAACAGTGTAGTTCAATTTGTTGTGCAGTGAAAATCTAATTTTAATTACGTGTGGAATTTTTATGTGGGCCGTGATTGATTTATTGCAACGCATGCCCAAGTGTTATTGTTAACAGGATAAGTAGGAGACAGGTTGCAAAAGCAGCTCGTTCTCGTTAAATTTTGCTTATTTTTTGATCCCCCCCGGCGTGCTGAATGGTAGCAATTGCTTTCCTATAGTAGCTGTGGCGGTGAAATCGATTTGCATATTTAATATGTGCACACATAAAAGCCATGTGTGACCACACGTACTATTCATTTGACCAATAAATTTTGTGTGTAATTCTGAGTGGATTCTGTTTATGTGTTCCACACATTCATCGACATTTGACATTTGACATTGACAAATGACAGTTCACATTCAACATAGTGATGTCAAAATCAAACATTTTAAATCGATTATATCATGCCAAGGATTCAATTGATTGATCGTAATTGACGTTCATTGAAAATTAAATCGGTGTAGTTTGCACCCATTTTCACTGATGATGTTGCATTTTGCATTAACTCTTCCAGAGGATCATCACCCATCGTTTTAAACATGTTCTGTATTCTCGTACCACATATTGTTGAGATGATAACCCGAATTGGTTGTTAGGCACTCCTTATGGTTACCGTTTATGCGGGCGGGACCTTCTGGTCTTAGAGCTAGTCTTAGAGTCACCTCTATGTTAAAAGCAAGTGCGCGAACGCTAATAAAAGTGCACTTTTCCGTTAAATCGATTTGGTGCTTTTTGTGCACTGTTTACTTAATTAAAAGCGCACTTTTATAATTATTGATTTCGCACTTTTGAGGAGTCCAGTTAGAAATGCAAAATACAATAATTATTCAACGTTAAATTTTAAATGAAATTAATTAAATGTTAGGTTGGTTGGTTGGTTGGTTTTCTTTATTATTAAAATTAATTAAATTTTAAATTAATTAACTAAATTAATCAAATTGAATGTGCAATGAAATTTATTGTAAAATGTGTAAACATATTTTGAAAACCCACTCTATGAGTTTCCACTGGACGCCGCCCTGGCAGCACTGCTGGCTGGGTGACCCCCAGGAAAGAGTGCCTGCAGGGTGATGCCACTCACCGCCACTCCAAAAAAGTCAGAGAAGAGAGAGAGAGAGAGAGAACTTTGGAGCGAGAACTCACGGTTCTTCAAACATCAGAGACACAGAGGGACAGAGAAGTCGCGAAAAAACAAATGGCGTAACATCATAGCTTCGGAACGGGACGAGACGAGCTCTGTCTGAACAGCTTCAGCAGCAAAAAAGTGTAGTGCACTTGTATTCTATTGAAATCCGGAGTAAGAACGGCCATTCGACTCCTGTTCCGTGTAAAAAAATTAACCTACTCACTAGTTTTTAGTTGTGTACATCCGGCGTGTAATATTCATCTTCCTGTTAAAGCCTGTATATTTTTGTAAAAGTGCAGAATTTTTGGAAGTCCCGCAGCGAGCGGACATCAGCAGCCAGCGAGCCGAAGATCCAGACGAAAAAGTGAATTTTCTGGTGCCCCCTCGTAGGACAGTGTAAATAGCGCTTTGGCTGTGGCCCATCATCCGCAGCGAGCTCAATTTTGTAATCGAATTTTGCAGTTCAATTTTTACGGCGTTTTCTCGGGAGGAAAATCTCTTTCCCTGTACAGTTAGTGATAGACCATTTTTTCGGCATTTTCGCGTTTCCATATACCGATCCGCGGAGAACACGGTTTGTGCGTGCGTGCCTTTGTGTGTGTGCGCGAGTGACCGAACCGAGATCGAGCACTTCTGGAATATCCAGTTTGTGGATTCCGCGGCGCGCTCGAGTAAGAAGAAACCGCTCTGCTCCCCCAAGTGAAGAAGAGTGGAAAGGTGAAACAAAACGCGAGACTCCCCGGTTGTTGCTGCGGCTAAAGGTGTCTGCCCCTTCAGTCCCTGAAGAAGATTATTGTTGGGTGAGTGCAACCTGTGTGTGGTCGTCGGTTACTTCCGGATCCCTCTGGGGGGAAGAAGCAATAGTAAGAGAAGAACGCACGATCTGCTGAGCTCTGGTAGACGGAAGTGGCTGGTGTAGAGATTGAGTTATTGACCGCGACCAGGTTGCAAGTGGCGAAGAAAACGAGCAATTCGGAAGAAATTGTTGCAAGGTGTGTTTTTTTTCCTTTGCTGGGTGTGAAAAGCCAAGAGCAAAGAGAGGGAGTGCGTGTTAGTGTGACTGGAGCATCCGGAAGAAAGTCCCGGGCTGAGAAGAGGTTATTGCTGCAGCAGCAGAAAGAGTGTGCTGTTACGCTAAGGTCCTGTCCAGTTAATTTGTGTTTTGCTGTGTGTGAGGAGAAGAGCAAGAGCAGAAGAGACCCGTCCTTCTATGTGACAGTCGGTTAGCTAGCGCAGTAGTGAGGGCGGAGAAGAGGGAGCAAGCCTGCGGGAAGCCAAGCGACAACAATTTGTGTGTGGATTTGTTTTCAAACATTCACTTGGCAGTAATCACAACAAAAGGCAGCAACGTTGTTATCGGTCTTGCTGCTCAGAGGAACCGCCTAGCCGTTTTGCGTGTTTGATACAAGTGCGAATTTCGAACACGAAAGGTAAGTGGTTTGGAAGGTTTTGGTGGTTCTATTGTTTATGTTTGAGCTTCACGGATGACAGCACAATGGGATTCATTTGACGGAGGGATGTGTTGAACTTCTCAGGTAATCGTCAGTAGTGATTGGACAACTAAATCTACTGATCTGGAAGTTTGTGATACACTGACCCCTCAATTATGGATCACTTCCATTTGATTAACACGCTAGACTGACTGATCTATAATGGTTTTTAGCTGAACCATAATTGTGGGATCGGTGTATATTAATCGTTGCCCTAATTCTTTGGTTCTGTTCTCTAGCTCTCCGAATAAGCTTTTCAAAAGGAAATTCTAATATGGAAAATCTCCCCACACGTTTAATATTGGTGATTTCTTAAAGAATAAGACCTATTCTGAGCCGCGAGTTATGTGAGGTGAGTCTGCGTGCAAATCAAATGGAGATTGATCTCACATGAGGTGACTATTGTTACCTCGACTAGTGACTCGCGGCGCAGAATAGGCTTCAACATCTGCATCCACTGTAATTAATTGTGATCGCGGAACATTTAGAACCCCCAGAGCTTCTGGAATGGCTTTTGAAACATTCAAAAATACTCTTCACAGAGTTCCAGAAGTACTCAGAGATCGTAGGTCTAGGTACCAAGAAATCATTACGTTTCGGATTTTGTTTTAGTTTCTGGATTTTTTGATTCTATGATGATTTGGAATAAGGGGTTTCAACGAAAATTGTGTTCCCTGAAATCCCGGGTGATCGTTTCCGGGAATGAAAACACTATTCCGGAAGTTCATAGCAATCTTGGACTCATAAAAGTTTACATTATACAGGGATCCCAAAGTTTCAGATATTTTCATTTACTTGGTTGTGAAATAAGAATGATTTGGAGTTGTGTCCTGAATATTAATTCTGACGCCTGTGCAGTAGAACGGTTCGAGGATGTGGATCATCTTCAGAAGCTTATTCTGATTGACTTGGAGGAAGTTTGTTGCGATGAGCAGTGCTGCTTGCTGAGGGCCTCCCTTGCTCAGTCGATAAAGGCGCGACTATAAAGCAAGACCATGCTGGAGGTGGCTGGGTTCGATTCCCGGTCTGGTCTAGGAATTTTTAGGGTTGGAAAATTTCTCGACTTCCCTGGGCATAGGGTATAATTGTGCTTGCTACACAATTATACTAATGCAAAAATGGTACAGGCATCGAAAGCTCTCAATTAATAACTTTGGAAGTGCATCTAGAACACTAAGTTGAGAGCACGCAATAAACTAATATGCAATAAGCTTGAAATGCGAAGAAGAAGTTCTGCGTGCTGTCAACAAGATCAATTGACTTTAGACATTACTGAAGCACTCAATTTCACTTCCGACACAGATATTCGTAGCAAGTATCAAACAGCGAAACAGGTTTCAATTTTAACAGCCTATGTGCTTTTTTACAACTGGTTTAATATAAACCAATTCAAATCAAAAATTCAGCGGCGCCGGTGATGTAGTGGTAAGCGTGATTACCTCTCACCCCAGCAGGCCTGGGTTCAATCTCAGTCGGCGCCGCCGGGATGTTCTGAGGCATAACATCTCATCTCTAATCACGCCTTCATTCGGAAGGGAAGTAAAGCCGTTGGTCCCCGGTTCATGAGTTGATGGGTCGATGTGTAGGGTCTAGGTGTGGGAGCTGCCTCCCTGGCGTCGGTAGTATTGGTGCTCAGCACGTAAAACAAGATCGACGAAAAACAAATCGAGGGAAAAAAAATCATAAATTGAAAATGGTTTAATCGAAACTTAGATTAACTTCTGGTGAATCTAATGTCATGTTCGAACTAGGGTGTTTGTAACGAGTTATTTTTTTTAATCTAGTGGCTCAATCGCGTTAGCTTTACGGAGCCGATAATTCATAGTTTTTTGTTTGTAACAAAATTCATTTAATTCTATGTCTAGTAGGAGTTGGGCCGAATACTCGCGGCTCACATGAGTTTAGAGGGGTACACTGTTGAAGTATAGGAAAACGGGAGGAGCTTGGGTGTAGGGTTTCGTTGTCTCATCAGAGCGATGTTGCCAGTATGAACGGTAGTGTGGTTCTAGATTCGTCTGGAGTACGACCGGCTATGGTGACGATAAGACTCATCGAGACGGGGACAAGACAAACAAAAACTAATATTTTTAACGAGTTATAAACAGTTAACAAGATATAAGAACAATTGAGAAGCATTGTATCTCTAAATTCATTTATAACACTTTTCAGTTCTTTAGGCTAAACATGGCATCATTGTTATTCCATTTACATAATAAACTTGGAGGTTTATAAAAAGAGAGAGAAGGATTAGTAATTTTCATTTAATTCCACTACCTTATTGGCTTATTCTTGATAGATACGCGTATTTCGTCTACAATGTGCAGACTTCTTCAGTGTCTTGTACTAATACTCGACTATTAGTATTAGTACAAGACACTGAAGATGTCTGCACATTGTAGGCGAAATACGCGTATCTGTCAAGTATAAGCAAATAAGGTAGTGGAATTATATGGAAATTACTAATACTTCTCTCTTAAACCAGATTTAATGCCATATTCATACTCGAATCGGTTGAAAAATACACTTAATCTTCTAGTTTACTAGATATCTATGTTTTGAGAGTGCACAGGTAAAAAGTGAGGTTACGGGACGCCACTGCAAATAAGTTTGGATCCCCGAAAATTCTTCTGAGTCCCAAAGACTTGCATTCTTTTCAGGGCAAACATCTGGAACCTTTGAAGTTTTGTTCTGGGAGGGAAACCCGTCAACAATGTTTCTCGATGAACATTTCAAGAGGTCCCATCTGCTTTGATCGATTCTCTTCACCGACTTTCTCTTTTGATAACCACGCCTACGCAAACGCACAATTTTTGCCACACAGTTTGATAGCAGAAGCTACTATCTTGTGCTTAGAACGTTGAACAGAGCAGAAAATGCTTTTGAAGTTGAGTTGTTAGAGAAAGAGAAAGTTGATGAAGAGAATCGATCAATGCAGAAAGCACCCTTCGACAAGCGGTCACTCCACACACCAATCTTGGGTCACCTTTTTTGTCAGTGTGCCGCAAGTGTGCCGATTGTGCCGGTCATAGAGCAAGCTGCGATTGTTTGTAAACCAGTATTTTTGACACCTTGAATGTTTTGGTTTGAAATCGCAAGGATACATCGGATTGAGAATGATGCGGGAAGTGGCGCGTGAGCGAAATTTTGGTGAATTAAGGAGATCTGATTAACTTCTCTTTTCTCTTGAGCCCACTCTAGAACCTACATTTCGTATTTAGATCTACTTAGTGAACTGCTGGTCTGAGTTCCTCTGGTATATTCAATTAACAGTCAAACAGCACGTAATGTTGTGAATAACTTCAATGAAAGTTGTCCAGCAGTGCTCCCATTTTATTTACAATAATCCAATGCCTACGAGATTGTGCCGAAGGTATGCCAAAGGTGTGCCCAAGCTGTGCCGAATCTAATTTCGGCACAATGTGCTGAGTGACTTACCCCTTGCCCTTTGGAATGTTCATCTAAATTTGTGATTTGAAATATTCAATATGATAATTCAGGAATGGTTTTACCTAGAGAGGGTCTAGTATAAGAGAGGAGCGGACTGGCTGATTTTGAGCCAAACGAACTGCCCAAGCCAGAGCTAATCGAGCAGCGCCTATCTTGATTGCATTGGCAGTGTTGCTAGAAACCACCTAGGCATAGGTTGCCAAGACAGTTTGTTTTGAATCCACTCCTCTCTTATACTAAACACCCTCTAGTTTTATCAATCATCCTTAAAAGTCAACTCAAGGGGTTCACCGCTTCTAAAAAAAATTACGTTTCGATTTTTCTAAAAATCTTGGAAAAAGATATAAAAAATCTAAACAAATCACATTTTTTCTATTTTTTTTAAAGAATATTCACGTGCAATAACATTATGCCATAAAGTTGAACTCAAAAAACCAAAAAAAAAAACGACCTTTCGGTTTCGCTGAGAGTCCATTTTTTTTTCATTATGAGATAGAAAAAAATATGTTTACATGTAAATTCTCTCAAGAATCTAAGGAAAAAACTGATTTTCTTGGATTGTTGATAATTTTTCTAATTAATTTTAGAAAAATAAAAACGCGCTGAAATTTTTTTTTGTGGTGAACTTCTCCTTAAGTGACTTTATAGTCTTAGTCATGAAATGCTTTGAGTCGACTGTAATATTGGATTTCTTATCATTTCAGTCCAGAAGCCTTACAGTTTGACATTAGCGGTCCTATAAGTCATGTTTTTAGAGATCCTGTGGGTTAATTTCAGTCTCCTGGCTCCGGACTTCGATGGCCTTACTGTATAATGGGCGTATGAACCAGAGACACGATGAATCCGCTTCCGGCTGTGCACAATTGTTAGTTTAGACCAGAAACTTCATTTTCAGATGTCTTGTGAGGTTGCGTCCATAGAGCTAAGAGAGTAATAACATAGAGGTAACTCTAAGACCAGAAGGTCCCGAAGAAACGAGCTCAACTTTTTGGCTCAGCTCTGGTACTATCTTCGGTCCCAAGCTAATCGATTCACCCCTCGAAACATAGGAAAATCCACTAACCCCTCATTTTATCTGTCAAACTTTCATAGCGAATCAAAACAAACATAGTGTAGTACTAGAATTTCGACTAGAATGGGGTACGTTAGTCGATTTGCTTGGGACCAATAGGCTAGTCAAGTAGTGAGCCAATTTAAAATCGTTAGTTTCGTATTGATTGTTGGTAATAAGTCAACTTCAGATATTTGTTGGGACAACTCTGGATTTATTCTAAAGTCTTTTGTATTATATTTCAGTGACGTCGCGTGGGTTCGATTTTTGCCTGTTAATCAGCTTTGAGTACATGTCCAGGGTGAATAATATCTGGGAAAACCTAAAAATCTGGAATCCTCAGGGAATTTTTTTTTTTTTTAAACCTGGAATTCTCAGGAAATTTTGAAATTCTAGTGTCAAGCAACACGCAATTCTTTAAAAATAAGAATATAATATATCG